ATGGACAGTACCTTCAAATCTCGACAATCAAAATCTCAAATTATATAATTTCAAAAACTATAATAAATATCTAAATAAAATACTATTTCTGGACTACACTACTTCAGTTATTTTGCGCACATAGGTGGAATGTCCGAAATATTAAATATATAATATAGTATGTATACTGTTTATATTGATTATAAGTTTCGATATAATGTATTTTGAGATGATGATGATGAGAGATTTTGATTTTGGAGGTTTTGTATGTCAATGCATTTGATGTAACTCTCATGAAACAAGTGAATCGATAACTAAAAGTCAAAATAATAATAATAATTTTTAGTTTCTTCTTGAGTGAAACGATTTCAAAGATTGCCACCTAAACAGAGTTTGTATGAAATTGTTTTTAAGGTGCCATATAAACAAATCAGACCTTGCTTCAATAATGAAAGCGTAAGCATTAATAAAACTTGTGATAAAGTGATGAAGGGGATAATATAAATAAGATAGTTGGTAAACCCACATCCAAATGCACTTTTATAGTGGATTATGAAAACAAAATTGCAAGAATTGGACAATGTTGTTTTAAAGTTAGAGGTATTTAAAAATACATATTCTAATTAGTCACTATTTTGTTTATTAAAAATAGTTAAGGTCAAATCAAAATTTATTATCATATAAGTTATAATAACTTATTTAAATTGTTAACACAAAGAATTGTATTGATTATTTTAATTAAAAGTAAATATTTATTTTGTATATTTTAACTATAGAGCAGTTTTTATTTAAATGAAATGCAAAATCAAATAATTAAATATTGAATGAAATATGATTTTACACCAAATAAATACCTATCGAGTGAAGTAGTATATTATATTACAATGATGAATTTAATTTACATTGAATGTACTTTTTTAGGGAATAATACTACAGTAATAAAATAGAATATTAATGAAACTAAATGAGTGTTTTTTAAACAAAAAGTTTTATTTAATTAAATGAACGCTATTTATGCAAATTTTCAGTCAATGAATCTAAAGTTATTTTATATTCATCTTAAACTGATCTTAAATTTATATAATGTCTTAAACTGTATTTAATTAATATGAATGAATTTATAATCTATTAAATTTATATGCCTTGTATTATATTATACTGTATTTGAATACATTGATTGGTTTAAATGTATTTTGTTTGTAAATTAAAGCACTGTGTTGTGAACGAGTAATTGATTTTGATTAAATAAATGGTGAACAAAACTATTATAATGTTAAGTATAAATAAATATTGCTTTTATTATAGAGAATATCATTAAGTTGTGAATACTGTATGAATGTATGAATGCATGGCATTTAAGACCATATGTTGTGTTTACGAGTACTTCACTTGACTCTAACATTAGGCAGTGTTTCGTAATATTTATTGATTTTATTTGCTCTTCCCTTCTTCAGTGATGGCAAAAGTTGTTGATTTCACTCACTTTTATTAAACTAATAAATTTCCGGAAGGCATCCAATATATTGAATATGTCTCTCACACTAATATCTCAGATATATTATTATTATTATTATTACATAAATTTTACTAAACTTTGATTTAGATAAAATTCCCACAAATATTTAAAATTATATTTACTATTAATTAATATTTGATAAAACTATTTGGTTATTTGGATTAATTTTGAAAATTGGTAAAAAAGTATATACAGCAATGTACATTATATTTAAATTTTAATTTAAAAACTAACAAGTTTACACTTATATGAGGTTATTGTGAATGCATTGATCGGATCATATTGCTCATAGAATATGAATTGAAATAAAACATTGAAATGTAAATCAATTGATGTGTGTATTTCACAAATTCATCTTTTTTCAAAAAACAGATGTTTACGACTTGAACACAAAAACTACACAAACAATAATATATTGAATCAATAATTTGAAAAATCAAAATCTAATAAAATTTTGAGAAAAGAATTGACGAAATCCTTGGAATAGATTAGAAATAAATTAATTTGATATTTAATTAAATATTAAAAATAATAGCTTTATCTTAAGTAATGCGTGTATTTCTATTGACTTAGTGTTGAATGTATTGATACACTATTATAATAGAGATGTACACTTTAGTAGAGGTACAGTATACTATATATTGTTGTATTGATGTATTGTATATATTCAGGGAGTGGGCAAATGGATGCTGTTGTCGGACATACAGACCCGTAAGTTTGGTGACGAGACGGGAGAGTTTCAGTTGGAGTTGTCTTTGGGAAACATAATGACTGTCTATGAGGCAGACCTACAGATGACGAAGACATGCAAACTAGAGACCACTTACTTCACGTTCGGCTCATTTGATTGGAACCTATCGATTGTCACTCAGATGTACAACACATCCCCGAGCAATGAGATGGATAGCCAAAGGGATGGGTGCCAAAGACCCCTCGTATTGCTAAACCGGATGACAGGTTTTGACAACCCGTGTCGGGTGCAGTACCGATGCATTTTGGGTGAAGGCAAGTATAGGGAAGACTCGGGAATTTTGGACCAGATCTCGGACGTGACGGGAAGGATACGTGGCTTTCAAATCAGATACTCTTTGAATGAATTGGCGAAACATCACGGAGTGGTTCGCGTCTATCTGGAGCTTCACTGTTGTAATACCATTAGTGAAGCTAAGGTTCCCGTCATTAGAAACCCTTCGCCAACCATTAATTGCTACGATCGCAACAAACAGGTCAGTCCCTGTTCACCCAACTCACCCTTATTTGCAAACACAGTATTCTTAGTTTATTAGTTCACTATTTATTCAATATAATGAAATCATTTCCTTTAAGCAAATAAGGCAAACAAACACAATATCTTGACATTCACTTCAATCAAATCTAATTCTCATTCAAATGTTTACTATTTATTTATTATACCAAATATTCTTACAAATACTCTTATAATAAGGTTTACCTTTTGGTTAGTCAAGTATTTTGACATTTTATTGATTTACATATAATATGATTTTAAAATACTCAAACCGTATACATTTTAGTCGTAAAACAATTGTATCATAGTCTAAACATTTAGAATATGATAATTTATAACTATCGGTTCTACACTAATACAGTATAGCTTTTTACTATACAGTATTATAAATTGTTATATCATTGAAAATTAGTTACCTGTTATACCTGGTACAACTAAATAAAAAATATACTTTGCTAAATATCAGAAAATTCAAGCAAAGCATAGTTTTAATGAATTAGTGTTTTATCTTGATTATTTCTGCAATAATAAATTAATATCATATAGCCTTAGTTGGGAATATCCCAGAAAATATGTCAATTATTAGGAAAAGCAGTTTTAGTGGACTATAATAGAAAATAGATAGTATTCAATTCAATGACTATAATACTGTAACTTATATTATAGCAAACAAAGTAATCTCTTTGAAGCCAACATCCAATGAATGTCTGAAACTGTGTTTAAATATTGAGTTAACAATTATTAATTATTATTAACAATTGAAGACACTATTTGTCTATTCATTTAGTTTTTGCATTCAAAGGAAGTTATTAATAGGGAAGGTGTGAAATAATGCATACAATCTTCTCATTCATACTTCCATTCAATTTAACACTTTTATAATAAATAATTAATTTGATGTGAATTCTGTTGACTGAATTATATTAATAAATAAATAGTGAATTTTGTTAGATTTTGAGCTCATTTATGGTAAAATGATAATAAGTTTTGTAAATGATTTGTTTGTGTTGAAGGGCTGGTGTATTGAAGCCGATTTGGATAGCGAACACATGCGACTAAAGCTATTTTTTATGGATTTACATTCAGTGCCTCGAAATCATTTGCGTTACATCTCATGGATTGCTTATGTAGTCACTCGAGACCCCAGGAATGGTATTCGTGAATGGATAGCGAACACATGCGACTAAAGCTATTTTTTATGGATTTACATTCAGTGCCTCGAAATCATTTGCGTTACATCTCATGGATTGCTTATGTAGTCACTCGAGACCCCAGGAATGGTATTCGTGAGAGTATTGTAGTCACCAATTCTCCACACGGCAACTATTATATACAAGATGGCATGGATATGGGCACCATCATGGACACCAACATCCTCTCCCATCAGGTATTCCACCCAAACACCTAAACAAACTGTATTTAATATACAAATAAATATGCTAATTTATAATGCAGTATATAATATGTTAATGCAATTATTGAGACTATTTTGGTGACGGATTCATTTATAAAATTTATGAACATTTTTAAGATAAAAGAGTCGCCAAAGGTCTATCTGGAAATGGAGGGACAGTTGACTGTCCACATTGAATGGTGTGATTCAATGATGCTTTTCAACCATATCTATCATAAATACGATGACATCCCTCGCATTCATTGTCAACAAATGCGGTCAGTATTAGTATATCATATAATTTACAGAACCCGTAGTTTCGTATAATTAAGGGATGTCTGTCATTTCAATTTTACATCAATCAGTCAATCAATTAGATATTGTCATTTTATCTTTCACTTTTAAAATTTATCAAGATTTATTTGAAATGAAAATTTATTTGTAATATTAATTACTTATAATAACTTAAAGAAAACTTCAGTATATAATCCTCAGGCTATGGGTCATTCAAGATGATGACAATTACTTCATTAATTAATTATTAGAAAAGGAAAAATCATCACTAAATCATATATTTGAATAATTTTGGCATTAAATACCAGTAAAATGTAAAACATTTGACATTTAAAGGTAAAGTTTGCCTAAATTTTCAATTGAGTTCACAGAATATATAAACATTTTGTTGATATGGTTGGTATGAATTGAGAATTAGTTTCACTCAAAAAAGATGAAATGTTTGCAAAAATGTTGAGATTCTGAGTACAAAAAAAGGATAATACAGTGAAATAGTGTGTCAACACTTTTACAAGCATTTAAAGTTGAGATTTATATTATATTTTGTTAACAAATCAATACAACAGTACAACAGTTCTCTTCTCTTCAGTCAAATTCTAAGATTGTCCTCCAATCGGTCCCTCAAAAAAAAGTCCTCCCGAGGGTCTCAGGAGGACAATATTATGTCCTCTCAGAGACAATTGTCAAAATAATGCAAATATTCATAATTTTAATTCATGAAAAAAACTGCGAGTTTGTAAACATTCTTTAAACAATTTATGAAATAATTGTTAGAATGACAACAAGTAGTGTATTGGATTGGAATTGTAATTAGGCTTAAATTATAATGTAATTTTTAGGAGTAAAAATATATTGAAATATTAATAATTATACATTTTTATAATTTTTGTCCTCCTGGCCAGGCTCAATTTTGACTATTTGACAGCACTAACTATAATACAGATTTTGCCTACAAAAATGATTCAATACGATAAATGATAGAAGAATACAATGAAAGTATGTGAATATATATCACAAATTAATACATCTAATGGACAGTACCTTCAAATCTCGACAATCAAAATCTCAAATTATATAATTTCAAAAACTATAATAAATATCTAAATAAAATACTATTTCTGGACTACACTACTTCAGTTATTTTGCGCACATAGGTGGAATGTCCGAAATATTAAATATATATATATATATATATAGTATGTATACTGTTTATATTGATTATAAGTTTCGATATAATGTATTTTGAGATGATGATGATGAGAGATTTTGATTTTGGAGGTTTTGTATGTCAATGCATTTGATGGAACTCTCATGAAACAAGTGAATCGATAACTAAAAGTCAAAATAATAATAAAAAGTTTTAGTTTCTTCTTGAGTGAAACGATTTCAAAGATTGCCACCTAAACAGAGTTTATATGAAATTGTTTTTAAGGTGCCATATAAACAAATCAGACCTTGCTTCAATAATGAAAGCGTAAGCATTAATAAAACTTGTGATAAAGTGATGAAGGGGATAATATAAATGAGATAGTTTGTAAACCCACGTCCAAATGCACTTTTATAGTGGATTATGAAAAAAAAATTTCAAGAATTGGACAATGTTGTTTTAAAGTTAGAGGCATTTGAAAATAAATATTCTAATTAGTCACTATTTTGTTTATTAAAAATAGTTAAGGTCAAATCAAAATTTATTATCATATAAGTTATAATAACTTATTTAAATTGTTAATACAAAGAATTGTATGGATTATTTTAATTAAAAGTAAATATTTATTTTGTATATTTTAACTATAGAGCAGTTTTTATTTAAATGAAATGCAAAATCAAATAATGAAATATTGAATGAAAGATGATTTACATGAAATAAATACCTATCGAGTGAAGTACAGTATATAATATTAGAATGATGAATTTAATTTACATTGAATGTACTTTTTAGGGAATAATACTACAGTAATATAATAGAATATTAATGAAACTAAATGAGTGTTTTTCAAACAAATTTAAATTTTATTTAATTAAATGATTGCTATTTATGCAAATTTTCAGTCAATGAATCTAAAGTTATTTTATATTCATCTTAAACTGATCTTAAATTTATATAATGTCTTAAACTGTATTTAATTAATATGAATGAATTTATAATCTATTAAAT